ATTGCTCCCACAGTACTGAGATTTATTTCAGCCTGTACCCTCTAAAAAAATTAGCACTTTGCCACTGGCATCAGTAAATGCAAGGTCAGACCTTAATATAAAGTACCATGCAATTTTGATCAGGCACTCTAAAAGCAAACACTGAAAATACCACAAGACCAAACTTGATTTTATTTTGGAGTGCAACTCTTTCATGTTTATTCAACCTTTCATATCACAAAGCTAAACAAAACCTTATTGAAATTGACCTTTGATAAGCAACCCAATTCTAAATACAAATTTAAGTCATGCTGAAACATCAGATTTTCAATCAGCTGCCTATTAATGGAAACACACCCCTTCAAAAGAAACCAAGATTTAGACAGAAGTCTCTTTTGTAGATATCCCTAGTTTCAATTTACAAAACGTTTTGCAGTAGCTCATTACATATTTCAGTCCAACAATTACAAGTCTTTCAAGACAGCATATATACTGAAGAGCTTCTTTGTTTCCTATATAAAAGCTACTGTAGTCCTCAACAGCTGCAAAGACAGAGGATGACACAAGCAGGAACAGACTGGTAAACTTTGTCCTGTAGTTATAGCACTGTACGTTTAATCTTAGAAAAGTTGTTGTTCATTGTAGCTTAATGACATTCAGCATTTTCCATTAAATAGAATCTCTGTCATCTTGCTGTCTTGGAGAACACTTAGATATCAATCTTAGCATTTACAGGGTGAGAAAAGAGACACAGATGCCACATCTCAGAGGGCTATAATAAAATCAGCTGGTTCACTGTCTCAAAGTCTGGAAACAAGAAGTCTCATCACAAACATAAAATAAAAACACGCTCAACCTTTTTTTTTTTCCAGAAAAACAATCCTGCTATCGAATTTTGGATTTCATAATTTAAAAGCCATGTTAGTAGTAAGGCAAGTCACAGTTCATCTATTTTAAGATAAACTTTACAAATATGGAAGTCATTGTTTCTATAATTAGTTGCTTCTAAGTGGCAGATACTCTGGGAATGGTAAATATGCAGTTGGACTGGAAACACCAGCAGCAGGCCATTTAACAAAGCACAAAATTTCATCCTCCCTATTTACATTTAACATAGTCATTTCAACACACCACTTAAAGTAAATACACTATGAAGTGAGTCTTTCCCTTTTCCCTCAGCTCATAATAAGGGAATCATGCATAATTCCCTTCCCTTTCACAGAAAAAGTACCATGATCAGAACATAACAAAGTTAAATATTTAACTGTTTTATCTATATATAGAAAACAAACAAGTGGTACAACATGACAAGTTGGCATGTTTAAACTCAAAGCCAGAATATTCTAGGAAAAAAAAGGGAGGAAAATAAAACTTAGTATTTACAGTTACAAAAGCTTGTCCAAAGATAAAAAAAAAAAGCTACCAACATGATCTTCTTCTCTTACTTTACAGCATTTAACAGTATAACAACTTCTAAACAACCTTCTAAACCTATTCACATGAAATGGTAATATTTGAATGCTTTGTAGACAATGTTCTAAAAGGATTAATCCAAACTATTTATGTAAATCAGTTTTCTGATCTCCACGAACTAGTCAATGACAAATACCTCTGTGACCAAAAAGAAGATTTTCATGGAATCATATCAATAACATTTAAATTCACTAGAGAACACTCTAAAATAAGACCATACAAAACTCCCACAAAACCCAAACTTTCAAGGTTCAAGAGAAAGCAGCAGGCAAAATGTACAGAACAGGAAAACTGACATTTTCCAGTTTGCCTCAGTTGAAAACTCTGCCATGGGTAAGAAACACAAAAGGAAAGTGGACAGGATAAAGAGCACAAAACATTGATCCAGATCTACTTCTATGGCAACCATATTATCAAGCCACCTGTTGAACAGTCAGGAATAGCAGAGACAAGCAGAACAGGCTGTCTTTAAGCAATACTAAAACAAAAACACAGGTCACGGATTTCTCAACTTCACCTGATTTCTCAACTGTACTAAAAGAACCAAACGTCTTAATCACAGGGCAAAACAAGAGTGTAACACTGAGAAAAATCAAAGCACAGCAGTACCTTTGAGAGAAGTTGTTCCTCTTTAGTTTTCTACCATATTCTGCTTAAGCAGAAAGAGGCTTGTAGGTCATATGCCAAATTTTTTCTCTAGTAGGAAAATAACCTCCACTTAACTGCTGAAACCCATATGCTTTTTAATGGGAACAGTTTCATTCTGGTGTAGACAGAAGTAAACTTCCACACCCACTACAAAAATCACAACAATTCCTATCATAAAACAAATAGTTTTTAAACAGCTTTCTTCTGTTTTCGTCTATGTCAGCTGCCAAAATATCACTGAGCATATTATAACAAATGAAGTCATACCAGAATGTAGGCAACGGAAACCTGAAGGGCACTCAACAAGTGATATTTTTTTGTCATTTAGGTGTCCAAATAATCTTGTTACATGAAATTTCATACTGATTTACTAAGCCAACACCACAAAACCGTTTCCCCATCAAAATACCATTGAAACCCCATGCTACCACACTACATCAGTCCTAGCAGCTTATACTCTGATTCCACAGGAGTTATTCCTATCAGCATGAACAGTTACCACACTGTGCCTGAGAGAGCATTCTGAGGAAAGGGGAGGAGAGAATAAATCCTGCTAACACACATCTGCATGCTTTAATATTCATTTATCAGATGTCATGCAATACAGGTGGAGAAAGAAGCCCAAATAAAGGAAAAAATGAAACAGCTCCCAAAACTGATGCAACCTTACCAAACACTTACACCGGTAAAGGAGATTACATTCAATTCTTACAGCACAAAGGGTTCAAACCCAAAGCATTTATGGATCTCCTAATCAAGATGCTACTGTATAATGAGAAGACAAAAGCAACAAGATAGTTGAATCATATTAGAAACTCATCAGGTATTAATTATTTGTCTGCCTAGAAGCCTTACTCGTGGCTAAGGAACCAACAGGACCAGATATGCTGCAAACAGAGTAAACAAGAAGATGGTTCCTGCTTCAAAGAACTTCCCTGCACCTCCAACTCAAAAACCTGCACTTAGTTAAGACAGTCACAGTCAACAACACCCTACACTGTAAATAACACAACAACTCTCAGTTTTCATAAACTATTTTGAACAAATTCAAAGAGAATGGTTTGATAAAGGCACGTGTGTGAACCTCCAGTAGTGAAGAGCTCAAGCAACAAAGAATAAATATTTCACAAGTGTACTCCAGCAGTAATTCCAGATGAAACAAAGGGGTAAAAAAAAAATACAAACCACACCAAAATACAACACTTTAAAGCAGAAAACACTACAGATTGGACTAATGTAAATTTCACAGAATAAGATCAGTTTTTCTATATGAAGGCAAATAAAAAGCATAAAAAAATTGAATTTAAAATCATTACAACACCAGAAAGCCCAGTAAGAAAGCCACAGTGGGAGCCATCCTGTTATAAGACGTACTGCTCACTAACTTCCTTAGACATATGTACAAAATGAAAAGCAGTGTTTCTTTACAGAGCACATTATTGGTCATTATCTACTTTGCTACAGGAGCTTGTGTTATTTTATTCCTTAACCCTACTATTAGAACCCCTGGAGATGCCAAAGCTGAAAACTAGGAAACAAAGAGCTGTAATTCATGAATTTTCAACACATTCTGCAGAAACAGAAGCTTAAAAATAACATCAGGCTGTTAGGGATGACATCATTCATTTCAGATACATCTTTCAGAACTACCTCCTGACCATGAACTGTGTTACTGCACATATTTAACAAGCCATACCAACTCTTAAGGCCCAGCTTAGATTTCTTCATACCCCATATGGTCTTAAGAATAATTCAAACTGATTACCTCGGCAATGCCAAGTTTAATACTTAAGAAAAAAAAAATAGGGACCTGTAGAATTAGTGAGCTACACCCACCTCTCTCCCACTCAGCTACCAGACCATCAGCTGTGCCCTATCACTGAAAACTTCAGCCCGAACCTGACATTTACAGCATTTCAGCAAGAGTGACACCTCACTTGCGTTGCAAAGTTCCCAAGAAACCTGTTTCTTCCTCAAGAAACCAAGTCTCTCCTAATGACCAGGCAGGTTTAGACTAAACGCCGCTAACTGCAGTTTGCTTGAAACAAAGCCCGAAAGGCCAGGAGGGAGAAGATCAAAACGGAGCTCTGAATTCCCTTCGCATTCCCAGGGGAGCCGCTCCCGGTTTCGCAGGTCCCCGGGACAGCCGGGCCGGGAGCGGCCTGAGCCTCCCGCCCGGGCAGGGGTCGGACACACGCCGGGCTCCCTCTCCCAGCCGGGGGAACGCGCTGCCCGCCCCTCCGGAGGGCCGCTCCCGGGCGGGGCGGGTCCCGGGGCCCCTCACGGCCGCTCCCGGGGCCCCCGCCCCGCAGGCCGCGCCCCGCCCTGCCGTCCCTGCCCGCCGCTCGGCCCCCACCGGCGGCCCGGCCGGGGCTGACACGGCCCGACACGGCCCGGGCCCGCTCCGCTCGCCGCCCTCCCCGCCGCCCCTCCCGCGGCAGCCGCTCGCGGTGCCCTCGCACCTTGTCCGCTTTGTCCATGGCTCCCGCGGCGCCGAGCGGCGGCTCTACTGCGGGCGGCGGAGGGCCCGGGCCGCCTCCCCCATGGCGCTGCAGCCCCGCCGCGTCCGCACACGCCCGGAGCGGCGCCGGCCCCGCTCGCGGTTATCACGGGAACCGGGACCGGCTACGCCACGGCCGGGGCGGGGCGGGCGGCGGGGAGGGCCCAGCTGGGACGGAAGCCGGGCGGGCCCAGTCTGGGAACGCCCTCGCTGCCCCCCGGGGCGGGCGCTCCCCGTCCGCGTTCGGGCCGCACGAAAACAAGCGAGGCCGTGTCTCGAGCGTGACGGAAACCCGCGGGAAGGAGCGGGGGGAGCGCGTTGTGCCCCCGCCCGGGGCCGCCCCCCCCGCGGAGCGTGAGGGCGGCAGGTGCGCGGCGGGCCCGGCTGCTCGGGGGCGGCGCCGGGGGAGTCTCGGGCGGCGGTGTCCTTGAAATTAACTGGAACATCGAAGGAAAAAAAAAAAATCTGAGATTTATTTAGAGGCAGGAGTCTAAAAATGTCGCAGCGGCGTCTGGAGCCGGGCTGTGAAGGGACCGGGTGTGCGGGACCGGGGCGCTGCCGGCGAAGGAGGGGGATTGTAAAACGTGGGGTTTGGCACAGCTTGTGTGACGTCCCGTTATTTTGCTGCCCCGGTTTTAGTGTGGTTAATTATGAGTAACACCAGTGAAATCCATGAGACCCGTGTTCACCTAGAGACACTGGAGAACAGGAAACGAGTGAAGGAGCCGGTGCTGCGCAACAACACATGATCCCGTACGTGCGATCTCCATGGGATGGTCCTGCATTTCATTAAGCGTTAATATGTCTGCTGCCTTGGGTTTAATGGAAAAGGAGCATGATTTATTTACAACTTGGTTGATTCATGGCAAGGGAAAAAAAAAAGAACTAGACTAAGTATCTCTGTGAAAGACATACACAAAGGATATCCTAGAGCAGACTCTTGAGCACTTCCAGGTGAAATACATTATAAGTGTATTATGTATTAATACAAGAATCAGGTTTCTGCTTCGTGAAGGTTCTTGTGAGGAATAAATGGCTTGCCTTTTAAAGAAAAAAGCAAGCAAGCCTGGATCTGATTTTGACAGAGTTAAGAACTACCAAAAATGTCGCTACAGAGCTATCTTGCTAGAGCTTCCTAGACTGAACCTTTATAATTATTTAACCTTTCCAGATTTATGTTCATTATACTATGTAACAATTTGTTCTACTTTATACAAAATTTATTTCTTGGGTAAATCCACATAATGCCTTTGTGTTTTCTTAAGAGTTCCTCTTCACCATTAAAACCTCGCCTGTAACATGGGATTATGAAGATGGCTGTTGCGTTGCAGAGCAAGATCTCATCTTGCAAACAGATGACACGAACAGAGAACTTGCACAGGCCATGCCTGCCTTCTGTGCTACTCCATCCACATCAGCAGGATCCCTATGTAGGTGTAACTTTTGCTTACATGTCATTAATATTACTTAACATTCAGTGACATGTTTTCATGAGGTTGTTGTACACAGAATCATAGGATCATATGGGAAAGGGAGTGGGGTGAAATTGTAATCCCAATGAAATTTAACTATAGGGTTTCTATTAACTTCAGTGAGGACAGTTTTACTACAAATGAAGAGAACAGGAGGGCTGCTGCAGCACCCTAATTGATACAGAAACCTCAGTTTAACTGAGAAGCTGCAGCAGTTTACACTTTATATACACTTCTGTATCCCAGCACTTTCCTTGATGAGATTATATGGTCAGCAGAACTCCCACAAGTGTTCATGACTCTAAGAAGCCATTTCAAGGTGGTAACAAAGATTAATTTGAGGTTATGTTCCCAGGGGCTTTTACACAATGAGATTTATTTCAACACAAGAAGTCACGAAAGTAAAACTGTGGATTAGGCTGGTTGTACAAAGAGCTTTCAGCTGATGCAATGGAACAGCATTTCATCAGTCATTGATGAACTTAAATATGAGATGGAAATCTACAGATAATAATTATGAAACATATGCCACCTAAACTTAATCTCACTTAAACAACAAATCTCTACTGAGCAAAATATATTTTATTCCCAGTTGTTAAATGTGTTTCACTTATTTGTGCAAAATTAGGTTGATTTATTTCAAACCTAGTCACTTTTCATCTCCAAAGTAATGTGGGAGAACTTGCCTGACTTGTCAGAAAACAGTGAAAAAATCCCACTGAAACAAGTAGAACAATCATTTTCTTGTATTAGCACACCAGTGTTATAGTGTGGAATGCAGCTTAATTTGTTTAAATTGGTGCTGACCACAGAATATATATTATGACATTTGCTTAAGATAGTGGCTGTGTTTTTAAGAAATAATGACTCATTATGGCAAGGCTGTCCGTTATGAAATTCTTCTTTTGTTCCCAACATACATACCAACAGAAAGGTCACACTTGAAAGGGCTGTTATGCACAAACAACAAGGATGTCTAAGATCTAAATTGGGCAGTGATTAAAGAGATATCAGAGCTACATAAATCTGTGCAATATAAATACTACAGAAAGTCATGTTGGGTCACCCGAGTGGCCATTTGGGTGAAAAAAAATCTCAAGTCTCCCGTAAAATTTAACTGTGTTATCACCAAAAAGAAAAACATACCAAAGCACTCAGAACCAGTTATGTGAGATCCTCTATCCACAGCTATCACAAATATGCCAGGGTATCTGGTTACATCATCACCATCTTGATCGAGTGTTGAGTAAGAGAACCCAACCGTGTTACAGTCCTTAAGGAAGCCATAAAAAAATTCTAAAAACCCTGCTGAATTTAAACACGCTGGTAACTGCAGTAGCTGATTTTGAATATTCAAGCCTAAGGGTCCAGTTCTCAAATCTGGCAGTTCATAAACAATTATTGCTACTTTTTTATTGCAACATGGAGTAAGTAAGCAAAGAGTTTGTAAGCGAAAATGATGGTCAAACCTAGCAAGTGCTGATTGCTTACAGAAAAAATTTGTAAATTTTTGGGTGTTTATTGCTGCATCTCCTGGGTAGTGGAAATACCCTTCCTGAACACAATGGAGGACACAGGTCAAAGGAAGAAGAAAATGTAGGTCGACACAAAAATAAAAAATGGATTCTAAAACAAAATACCTCAGCAACATGGAAAGGCACTTGGTAGTGACTGTATTCAGAATTCAGATCACAGGATAACAAGCAAATTTAACAGCACATGTGCAGCCACTCACGCTCTCTACTTCCATAGGGTCTATTTACATTCAGTGGGTATAAAGTCCCACAAAACACATAAGGATGTGATTATGCACATCCCACTGAAATCGAGGCAGCTCCTTACATTGGAAGCTGAACATATGTACAGCCTTAACTGCACTGGCATGGAAACATGAAATAAGGGTTGCTCAGTAACACCCCCCTCCACCCCCTAGGTCTGAGCAGGCCGAGACTGAGCTCCAAGGCAGCAGCACCACCTGACCATGGACTGCAGCGGGTTTGGAGGCTGCCATGGTGAGCAAGGGGAAGAGGCAGCAGGAATAAAGCAAACTCCAAAATGACAGTTTTACTGGCCTGGGACTAAAATCTTCAGCATAATTAGAGAAAAGACAAGTACAGAAAGCAAAGTATATCTTGGCAAATAAACACTTGTACCTGCTGGTACAACATGTGGTGTTCTGCACAGGCAGCTGGGGACAGACAACAGGGAACATCACTGGAACCAAAGTGGGAAGGTGAGCCGGGAACTAGTGCATGAATCTGAGAATCACGATTCTGATGGCAACATGCAATTACTACCTGGCAGCAGCCAGAGTGAGCCCAGCTCTCCCACCGAGAGCAGAGAGGCAGCAGAGCCAACTGAGACAGATCCTGCCATGCAGCTCTCTGTACCACAGCCAGGAAGGGATTAGCCTTTACTCTTGCTGTAATGCCTCCAGTTATTACAGCTAAGATTTGGTACTACATATGCAATTATTATAACACAGATACACTTTGCAATCTACCTTCCCACAGATTTAGAGGCTTTTAAGACAGTGATAATCCTTTCTGTCAATATCTTAATTAACACTTCACTAGTTGATTAGCTTGTAATGTATTTTACCTAGTTCTCTAACCCAGTTCTAAAATATATTATTAGCACTTTGAAAATAATAAAGTAACAGCTAAACTTTCAAAGTCAATATTAACATCTCTATATGGAAATTTAGTTCAAATAATTGCTGTATTTTTGAGAAAGCAAGGGGTACTGTCCAGAGTGATGTCATTTTACTCTTACTCCATAAATACACAGTTCCTGCTCAAGTAAATTAATTTACTACCTCTCAAAAAAAATACAATCTTCAAATACAGACATAATGTTTTACAGCTGACAACTTCTGAGTAATTACAAAAATCAGTGTTTATTTACAGACTACAATTCAAATACTTTCATTATATTATTCTACCAGGTGCATTTCAGCTGCCTTGCCATTTTTCCATTTTTTTGTTTGGTTGGGTTTTTCTTTTTGTTCTTATTGTTCAATACATTTTTAGTCCTATTTAAAAGCAAAATGAAATCCTCACTACATCAAGGTTTCAGATCCAATCCATTAGAGTAGGACTTTGAGATGCAAAAAGAATACATTCCTCCCAAGTATGCTTGATAAATAAAATAAAAAATATAAATCTGAAATGCAGACATAGCACCCACATCCTCCCAGATTTCATTTTCACGTTGTTCAGTTTTAATGCATAAGCTGCCAGCAACTCAGAAGAAGGGTTTATATATACACAGCTTAATCACTGTTGTAATCTCACAAAAGATTACAACAGCCATTAAAATGTTCCTCTGCAAACAGTGGTACTGGTACTAAGATGCCAGTTTGTCTTGCACCAACAGCAACAAAAAGTATATAAAAAGACCCCAGAAGCTGTGAAAAGTGTGGCTCTGACAATCAGTGACAACTGCAGACATTTAATGACTGGAACTCAGACTGGAGAACACAGTGTGGCTGCTTTACCACGCCTGGAACAACCTGCAGTGCAAGTGTTTCCTGAAAAAAATTTCATTCACCCTCTTCCTTCAACTGCTTGTTCACCTTTCCTGAGAAGGCAGAAATGACACCAGAGCCAGATCTACCAGGGACCAGGTGGGCTACAGCAACTACTGGCGATTTCTGCTGCCGCTGTATGACAACAGAGCTCCTCTGTATTTCCCCACAGAAAATTCTCATCTTCCAGGTTAAGAATTATGAGAACTCAGAAAAGGAGTAGAATCCCTTAGGGATTATATAAATCTTCATTATGTGCCTAGAGCACAGCTGCTAAGGCACTGTACACATGAGTAAGAACTAAAACATGCCAAAACACGCAACAATTTAAATATTAGAGGTAGACTGACGCTTTTTCGGTCTAAAAAACATCGCTAGCCCTCACCGCTCAAACTGAGGGTCCTTCACAAGCTGGACAATTAGAGCTTCAGAACAAAAAGATAAAACAAGGGAACTAGATGGAAGGACAAGATTTACTGCAGTATTCCTGTCTCCTTCTTGATAAAAATCCGAACATGCCTCCCTAACAGACATGGCTGGGATGGGGAAGGTTACAGCAGGTACAAGAGACAAAGTCAAGAAGACTGTTTTATTTTCAGTGATTGTAAGTTTATACACAGTTCTCCTTTTTCCTCTCCTTTAGAAGAGAGTTGTTCCTTCCCACAGCAAGGGTGGTGGGAAATGGCAGGGAAAGGAAACATATTCAAATAGCTGTCACTGTCCCCGTCTCCATGGGAAGGAGAACCTTGAAAGAGCTGAGACAGTCCCTTGTCCCCCAGGGAGGAAGAACCTTGCAACATTCCCTATCCAAATTAAAGTCTCTGGATCTGTAGCTAAGGGTCCCAATTACTGTGCAGTATTGTTAAGTTCAACTTCACATCACCAGGTATTATTGGAATGTTCAAAGTAAAAACTATATTACACATCACAGCATTGTAAGGAAACAACAAACAATGTGCTTTTAGTCAATGTTATCTACAGATTTTACAAAGGAAAAAAACTTTGCTTAAAAACTTAAGTTCAATTTATATTCTTATTTTACCACTGTTTTAAGTAAGTGGATAAATTAAAAATACCTATGGGTAAAAAAAAAAAAAGCATTAGTGAAGAAGAAATGCTCACCCAAGATTCAGCATCATGCTACTCATGGTACACATTAAGCTTTATTGTGTAAACTCCAGGAAAAAAAATTCACTTGCTTTGACAACTGCAGAGCAAAATAATTTTCTAAGGGCCGTAACTATTCTTCAGATAAAAATAAATTTTATCCTATTTAGTTACACCCTGTTACCAATTTAAATCCTGCTCTAGAACATTGAGTCTACCACGGTGCCTTGCATGTATGTGATGGACATGTGTAATTTATTAGGCTTTTTCACTATTTTTGGGGTGGTGTTAATTGCTCTATGTACTTATTTTTCCTTCTACTATTACAATGTCTGTGTGTGGCACTGCTTTGTGTACCATCACACACTACTCTCAGTTACAGAAGTGACCCTTTAAAATTCCTTCTACGTTTGAGACCTGCAGGAGAATTTTTCTGTCAGCTCCAGACAATCTGCTACAGGAATAAAAGGTGCTGTGGTCACCACTGCAGCTATATTTTAAATGGATCTGATGATTCCAAAATCTTGGCACACAAAAGGCATGTGCCTACTATGTGGCAGGAGTTCAGGACTTGAATAGCAGCTCTGAAGGGACTACGACACATTCAAACATTTGAGAAGAGATTCCATTATGACCAGTGTCATGGTACTTGGGTCCCACTCCAAACCCACAGTGTCATTTTATATACACTGAATCCAGGCAAAAAGACCACAGATCAGGCAAAGAGGGTCTGCACTTCTATTCCCAGGGTACTGCTTGGCAAACCTGCAGTCTTAAAATAGCAAAATAAAACCCGAGCATATCCCTGAGAGATGCCAAATACCCACCAACATAACCAGACAGGGCTGATAATGGTTTGGCATCTTGCAAGCTGAAAGTCAGTTAGCAAGACTGCTAAATGTCAGCTCTTTAGTATTTATGTTTCACTGTTTCAAGGGGGGAAAAAAAGAAAAATCAACAGCACATTTATCAAGGCATTCAGACTTAAAATCTCCATACTGTCCTTCACAAATGAGGTGAGGATCAAGTAATACCTATTTTTGAAGTAGTATCTATTTTCTTTTAAAAATAACACAAGAAAAATTCAAGTATAATGAAAGCACATCAAGAAACAACTGTACAATTTCTGAACTGCACTGTTTATTTTGCTGCTTGAAACCTAAGTGACAGTATGCCACTATAATTATGGGGTTTCTTCTAAACCTTTACTACACTGCAGGTACAGAAATATACGGACACATTTTTGGAGAACTGACATTTTGCAAAATGCAGCAAACATTTCAATTTATACATGAGAAAAGGAAGTGTTCAAAAGGGTATGCATTTCAAGTTATTGCAGGTTATTTTCTGTGAGAGAATTTCTGCAGGTAAAACATGTTTAAATTTAACCAACAGTAATGTGTCAGTGTATTTAAAATCATGACAAAAATCTTCTCTCTGGTCATCAATTGCCCCTTGACAAATTACTAGGATGTTGTATGTTTAGGGCAAGATGTCAATACAGCATAAATCCCGTGGCATTTTGGTTTTCTTCTGGAGATTAAAGCTGTTTTTTTCTTGGGATAAATGCAGCAGCAAAACACAAACCAGCTGATCAAAAAAGCACTTCTGCCATAACTCCAATAATTTCAGGGCACACCAACCGACAGTAGTTTTGCCATTCCCAGTTCTTTTAAGGTTTACATCACTGCACTGTTGCCTTAAGTAGTTTGTAGAAGCTTGTTTTCTGTTAGGCCAGCTTGCTGACTACAGCCCGGTTGAGAGAATTTAGTTGGTTGGTCCATTTATCTAACGCAGTATACCGGGCACCGCCTCTCTTCTGGTGATCCAGTTCTAGGAGCTGGTTGACTTGATCAATTCGGCCATGGATAGTGCTGGAAGCAAAGAAATACAAACTGTCAATTGCTAACGGAGGTGGAAATAGGAACTAACGATAAATCAAAGGTAAAAGAAGAGGTCTGATACAAGAGAGATAGAAAGTCCATTTCAGAATTCGGCGCCTTTATAATTATTGTCCTGGGCAGCCCTGCCTATTTAGCTGTAACCATGATTGGAAATCAAATGGACTTATTCACTGGGCAATGCACATTTTATCTGCTTAACTATGACCCACACAAAGTCTAAAGCAGTATGAGGTAAACAATTCTTGAAAGTCAAGGAATCATAAAAAATGGAGATTTATGTCAAAAGAAATTAAAAAAATATAAACTAACGTATGGATTTTATTTTTGCAGTAGATATAACAAGTTACCCTCCAGAAAAATAGGTTTTAGAAATCGTAGTCAAGTTTTTCCAGTTAAGGAGAGCAGACTTAGAATTGTACTTAGAATTGTAACTTTCATAATTTCATAATAATTCAAGACACTTTATTATGTAATTAAAAATTAAAATAAAACCATGCCACTCAATCTCTCTGTGTCATTTTCTTGGCTCCCATCTTTCCAACATACTCTACTGCTCATAAGCAAATCCAAAGTCAGCATCATTAGCTTTCACTTCTAGAATCAACTAGTATTGTCACAATGCACCAAAACAATGTTTTGTTGCTTCTTGTATAGTTTATTTTAAAATAATCAAAGATCAATAATCAAGAATAAAGTACATACTTATCCAATATGCACTGCACAAGCAAGCTTTCCACATCAGCTACATCTATGTTTAACTCCTAAAAGAAAAAGAAAACTCATTATGTTGCCACCATGTTTTGCAACATTAAAACCCTCCCATCTTTATTTTCATATACAGAATTGGGTTTCATTTCTGTTTCTTACTGTTCAAAAGTATCAATTCAATAACGATCTATCAAGAAAAAGACCTCCACCAAAGTACATGTGGCCAAGAATCAAGAGATCAGTAACTTCTCAGAAAAGGCTGAAGCAAAATTTTGGAAGCTCCAGAAATTAGTTCCTTTACTGACTTACTGAAAAAACAAACAGATAAAAAATATCCCAAACAACAACAAAATAAACCACAACCACAAAACCCCAGGAAATAAAATAAGACAGTAATTATCAGGAAAGAATGGATCTACACTCAAAACCATTTAGAGACATAATTGCATCTTCTGGCTCAAGCAAGTTCTACACATGCTAAGTCTAATTTAAAAAAAAAAAGGCACACAGAGTTCTAAATAGAATTTAAGGATAAAAAATAGGCACCTCTAATATTTCATGACACATTCTGTAATGCTGTGAATTTTTGCAAGCAAAATCACAGACCCACACGAGATGGAAATAGTCATCTCTTATCGCTGGGGTTTGATTTTGTTCTTTCCAGATTAGGCAATGATTTCAGTGATTCTGTGATAATGGCTGGTTTGTTCTACTACCACAGTTCTGTAACTCATACAACACGGACATTTTAAGATACCTTCTGAACAAAAGGAATTCAAATTTTAATTTTTTATGT